CTTTAACTGTCTAAGGAAGTGAAAGCACCAGAAAATAAACTAGGTCATACGCAGCTGTCATCCGTACGCAAGGAAGTAAGCACAAGGTGCCGAACACCCTTAGCAGGATGCAGCGCACCCTTCATGCGACTCGCCGAATATCTCACGGCGCTTCGCGCTTGGTGATGTGGGAGCCTGGTCCGGTGAGAACCTGGCGTGCTCCGTCCCGGCTTTGTAGGGATGCGAGGTCAATGGTCTAACGACTACGGCATGCACGACCATGAGTACACCCCCCCCCTCCCTCCCTCCCTCCCCTCCACTGTCCACAGTCATGGTTGTACCCTGCTTTTCGTAGCCTCCGTTGTCTACCTCTCTCTCTCCCTCCTTACACGTCGTTTATTTGCTGTTTTGCTGAACTGCCGCTGTGCAAACGCACCCCTTCAAGGCTGAATACGGCGGTTTCCCGGCGGGCTCGCGCGCGCTGGTGCCGAACAACGGCGGCGCTCCGCGTGGGGGATTGGAAGTCAAAGAGCAGGTGAGCCGTGCTCGTCACTTCGGCCCTGTCGGTGTTGGTGTCGTTGTGACGGTGGCGGTGTGATGTTGATGTCACTTCGTTATCGTTGAGCTCTAGAGACGCTGTTGTTCCGCTTGGCATCACTGAATCTTTGGTGTGAGGTCTTACACGGACTGAATAATATGTCAGGAGTCTGCTGAAAATTCGCCCTAGGTTCTTTTCGAATGCAATCCGCTGGTGAGCAAATAGTCCCGTCCGAGAGAACAGCATTTTGCGATGTTTGGTGTATTTTCTAGGAAGGGGAACAAGCGTCGGGCACTGCCTCCCTCAGTGGGATGTTGTTCGTACTCGGCAAGGTTTGCGCTTCCCCTTCGGCGTCTGTTCTGAACGCTGCTTGTATTTGAAGCGTCCATGTAGTGCAACCTGTTTCTCTGACCAGGTCACCGCTGTCCGCGTATTCCGTGGTCTATTGTCGTTCTTTCGTATGTTCCCGCTGCTGCCATGACGCTGATGATGACGCTGATGCTGATGCTGCTGCAACTCCGGGCGGGATGGAAACGAAACGAAACGGGCGAGCAGGGGCTGCAGCTGGTAAAGGGGGCGTGGGCGCGCATCCTGGTCGGCAAGGACAAGACAAGGGCGGCGCTTCACGATGCCAAAGAGAAGGCTGGCGTCGGTGAGAGCTTACCCCTATGTACCACCACGCTTCGAGTTCGGTGAATCGCACAGCAAGAGTCCGCACGTACACAACGACCGTTTGTTTGGCTGGGGTTGATCCCTGCTTGGAACGGAAGAAGCCCATTGCGCAATCTGTCCTTCTTGAATGAACAGCCCCCGTTCGTGTTTCCTGGCTGCCTGCAATGATCCGGAAAACTTCGTCGACCTAGTGTTTTTAGCTGAAAACGTGCCCATTTTTTTTTTGCGCGGCTCACGTTGAGGTCTTCACGCGGGGTAATAAGGTACACCGTTTCTATTATGCTCGAAATTCGTTCGGGCACAGCAACCGCTTCTGGGTTTTCCTTGTGAAACGTAGCCTGGGCCGGCGAAAACCGACACATCGCTCCGTCCCGCCCACGGCATGCGTTTTCATTAGTACACCCCCTCTCCCTCCCTCCCTCACGTAGCCCGGGCGACAAAAACCCGGCATATAACGCTTCGTCCCAGCATTTGTCTGGATGCGAGGTGTATTGGTCTACCGACTACGGCATGCGTTCACATGAGGTACACCCCCCACCTCGTTCCCGCCTTGCTTGGGCTCTCAACATGTTCGACTCGACACCACCGCCGTTACGCTTTTGCCTGCTGCTGGTTGTTCCGCGCGGTGCGCGCGCTCCTGCGTTGATATGTATATGTGCGTGTGTCGGGAAATCCCACCCTCATCAGCGGCGTCGACAGCAACCTACAAGATCAAGAACACCATGGGCAGCGTCACCAGCCGGTGAGAGGTTTTGTTATGGAGAAGCATTTCTTCGGTTTCATCAACTCGGGAGCAAGTCTCCTTTCGGGGGAAGGGGAGCACATAACCTAGTCAGGGCGGCTGCGACTTCGTTCCTCCGGCTGCTCTGCCGCAGTGTTGACCTTTCCCCGGGAATGCACATGCTTCCCACCACTGCTGGCGTGCTTGTTGACGCGGCTGACACGAACCGTGTTTGTCTGTTAACGAAGCTGATTTTTCGTTGCATCGTTCATTTATCTCTCTCTCCCACGGCCCCTTTTGCGCCACGTGAAGTGCTGTGAGACGGGCAAGTCTGTCCCAAAATTCTTCGTTGCCATGAGAATATGATTTTTTGTTCAAGTGTGGTTGGTGTACGCATCGGACTCGCTTCTCGCCAGAGGGGAGGGAGGCGGGGCACGGACGTGGTGTCAGCCCGGTCGGCTCCTAGTGCTCCGCACTCGCAGTCAGGCTAGTGAACGAGCAAGTCGGTCGGTAGGTGTCGTAAGTAGTTCTTTCAGCCCTGACTGGCTCCAACCTGATGTGATAGCCTGCCAGCACGGCAGTGCTCGACGGGTTTTTGATAAGTTGCACAGGTATTGTTTTTTTCTGAGCCGTGGTAGACACAACCGAAGAAGCGGACGCCTCGCCCTCATACCTCACTTGCCGCTTACGTATACCCAGAAAGAAACGACCTCCTGCGTGAAACGGTACTGGACTGCGTATGCGTGTCACTTCCTGCATCATCAGTCCCGCACTGAAAGCTCTCAATTCGCACACGTACCCCTCGTCTGTACAGCCAGACTGCAGTTGTAACCCGCCCGCCCCCCTCCTCGGCCTTCCGCGTCGTCCCTTCCTCCTGCCCCCAGCGTGGCCGACGTCCTGGAAGGCGACCCCCAAGGTCTTGCTGGTCCCTACGGCCAGCCCCCCCAAGACTACTACGGCGAACCGAGAATGGGGGCCGGCGGAGGGCAGCAGCAACATCCACGCTCCTGGCAAGGGGCGCCGCAGAATGGGTACCGTGAAGGCGGCGTTCCTCGCCCAGGACAGGACCCCCGCGCAGCTCCGGCGGGCAACGGTGGTGGATATCCTGGATACCAGAACCAGGGCGCTGGCGTATCGGCCGGCGCTGGCGGCGCTGGTGGGTACGGGGGCAACGGTGCGCGCGGGGCGGCGGGCGGTTACCCTGGTCCCTCTTTCCAAGGGCAAGCAGGACAGCAGCAGCAGCAGCAGCAGCCTAGAGGAGAGCCGCAAGGAGTTCGTGGGTTCGATGGCGGCAGCAGCTACGGACCCCCGGTTGGACGTGGTGGCGTGCCGCCCGGTGGCGCTGGCGCGAGCATGGGTTCCTACCCGGGGCAAGCGCCGCAACCGCAGCCGCAGCAGAGACTGCAGGGGCAGGGGCAGGGGCAGCCGGGGGGCGGAGGAGGCGATTGGCAGAAGGACGGGGACGGTAGTCTGTTTTGGTGATGTCGTAGCATGTTCCTGTAGTCAGAGGCATCGCGGTGGCAGGTGATGTTACTCAAAACTGTTGTAGTGGCATCATTGGTAGGAGCGGTGTTGCGGAGAGGGAAGTGAATGGCTGTGATGAAATAGAAGAGTCAAAAGAAGAGGTCGGAGAAGAAGGAGTAGATGTGGTGCAGCATGCGGTGGGGGTACTAGTTGGCTCTTCTGTTTCAACCCGATCGTAGTGTCGTAGTGTGTGTGCCGGGCTTCCGCTTGAACGACACATGTCGTCAACGCTTTGTAAGAGGGGAAGCACCGCACAGGTGTGTATGGGAATTGACGTGTGCTACAAATCAAGCCACGATTACCGCGGTGATTTTTGTTTCTGTAATCTCAGACCGTTCTCCTGGCGGTTTCCCGAAGCCACACAAAATCCCGAGAGCGTTGTGGTCACGCTCTTACCACATCCATCCGTTGATTTCGAGATGATCAGGTTAAAAAGCGCATGCTTCGTGCGCATGAGCAGTCAGTTTGCTCCCCTGTGTTTTGGTCGGCATGATTATGGGTTCACAGCGGTCAGGCGCGAGACTGAATATTCGCTCGGGCAAGAATGAAACGACACCGTTGTGTTTTTTCGCTCATGAGGTCTTGTTCTGTGAGCGGATGCCAACTGCCGCCGTGTATGGGCATGCAGATAACCAGTCGGTCGAGGCGCCCACATGCTTGGCTAAAAGAGTGTGCTATGATGGTCGGTGTTCAGGAAATGGATCCTGCCATCTCATGCGTGGCCGTGCGTCAGTTGTATAACTTGGACAGCCCTGTAGCATACTTGCAGTCCAGGCCTTCTAGAACTTGTCGAGAGTGAGTTAATTGTAGGTTAGCTGTGTATTTGGTACGAGATAATTCACACATTCATCCCCCACCGCGCATTTATCCACAAGAGCACTCTTCTTCCCCTTCATCGGCGACGTGGATGCGCTATGATATTGCTTTCGTTCAATCGTGGTGCTCACGTGTAGTTGTCTTGGATTGAGGAAGACATGTGACGTGACAAGAATGATGCGTCCGACGTGACATGCATGATGCTTGATCAGTCACCCACAAATCACTCCGTGTTGGCCGCAGGATCATTTTCAATTTTAATTTTCAGGGGGCGGGGGGTTGTTGTTGTCGTTGTCGTTGTGTTCACATGGGTGTGTTATTGTCGAATTCGCGCGCCCCCTGGTCACGCGATTGACGCGATCTCCCGATCACCTTCCTTGCCGTTCCCTATCCAATCCCCCGCCGTGTGCGCTGCCGCTGTTTTTGAAACTGTGATCGGGACAGGCGCAAGGCGCGCTTCTTGACTAGGAACCAACGGCGCGGAGGTAGTATCGTATCGCTGTCCGATGCTGCAAACAGGACGCTGTTGATTTGAAACTTCAAAAACACTCTGGCAAATTCATCTTCAGTTCGCGCCATAGACTATTTGAACCTTCGAAGACCTCGTTCGCTATCGAGCAGCTTGAGTGCTGCTGAAGCCCGTCGTCTCGCTCCCCGACGAGCAGCGAACGCTTCCACTGGATGTCAATCCACATGATGGACGACGAGGAGGACGACGACATTGGCTGGGAAGGTGAAAGTTGTTGCTTGGTTGTGTATGAGGTGCATGTACAGAAGCCGCCGTTCATAGTCTGCGGCAGCAGCTACGCTGCTACTGCTGTAGCTATTTCAGGCTCGCTTCGTGCATTGGGATGACACGGCAGGCCGAAAGGGCGTTCACCCCACTGCTGCTATTTGCCTGAATCGACCACCGAAAGGCTGTACGGGAGCAACGGTGCACGTGTAGGAATCGTCGAGGCGCATCAAACAGCTCATGATCCGCTCGATGCACCACCGCAGAAAACCTGACAGTCCCGCGCCGCCGTGGCATGAGTGTGAAATTGTGGTTAAGGTTGCAGTCGCCGCTTTTGCTACTTGGTATATGCCAGTACGATGTACTTCATAGCTTCGTACTTCGTAGTTTCATTTTGTAACATGCAGATATCGCTCGCACTTACTGATAACTTGTTGTCTTGGCCAAGGCTGGGGTTCTTTGTGGACTACAAAGAAGCGCTGCCAGGTAAAAGCTTTCAGTGTAGGGCTCACAAATTGGCGCTCACGTTCTGATGTGCGGGTGCTATGCATCTGTACTTCCCCTGTGCGTGGGTGTGTGTGGGCTGGTTGTCCGTGGTGTTCGCGGGTAAGATGACGACGGGCAAGAGATCGACGACGAAGGCATTGCGTGGGAAGAAGATGATGATGAAGGTGATGGCGATGGTGACGACAGCGGCAGGGGCAGCAACAGCGGCAGCGTTGCGGCAGGAGGTCCCGCGGGTTGCGCAGAGTTCGAAGAGGACGACTTGGAAGAGGAGCCCGAAGAACGCCGCGTAAGACCGCTGGGTGTTTTCCAAGCAGCAACAACTTCGGACAATTTTCTGAAAATACGCGGCATCATTTGTGTGTGTGTAACCCCTTGGGGACGACGAGGTTGTCCGGTGTAACGCTCTCCGCCGTGTGATTCGTCAGACCTCGTGGTTGTTTCTTGGTACCCCGACTCTGACATGGAACTACAGTGGATGCAAACGTTCACAAACCTGGCCTCAGACAGAGGCAGGACAACTTGCAGGCATTTTTGGCTCTGGATGTACGATAGCGTTGCTGCACACCCCGTGTGTTTCCGCTTGTGTTCCCTTTCCCCGCTGTTTGTGGTTGTCTCCAAAACGCATCCTTAGCCTTGACTGTCTTCGGGTCATGGTGGCTGTGATGCAGTGGCTCGGAGACAACGGAGAGATCGTGGTCGAGCTCCCTCGGGGGGAGGACGAGGAAGGGGAGGACGGTGACGATGACGGAGGGAGGGGTGGAGAGTCTAGCTCCGCCGGCAAGGGGAAGGGCAAAAAAAAAGCGAAGGCCCGCCGGTTCACGGCGGTGAGTAGGACGGTTCGCGAAGCGTGTTTTTGCGCGTCGCCTTCTGCGGGCCGTTGTGACCGTCCTCCCTCGATCGTCGGGCGGAACCTTTGGCAATCATGGTTGTCTGCAGGAAAGGCTTGACTCGCGCTGTGGTTTTGTTCTTTGTGTGGATGGAGAGAAAAAGAGGCTTGTGGAACGAGTCAGTCAGCTGCAGCGCACAACCGTCTTGTTTACCAGATTTTTTAGCCCTCTCCGCAGCAATGAAGCCCACGATATTGGAGACGACTTCCGCCTGTTGCAAGAAAGGTCTGCATTCTCACGCGTGGCGGGAGAGATTATTATAACTTGTTTGGCCATGACTGCAACGACGCGAACGGCCTGACGTGCGAATATTTTGCGGTAGAACACTTTGTGTAGCTCGTTTTTTTGAGTATCACCTGTGGTTGTCGACAAGCCAATGAACCGACGGCGCCCCTTAACGACATCAGCGTCACGATGCCCCCCCAGGCCGGAATCAGAAGGTCGAAGTGGGGGGCCATCCCCGGCTCCCGAAACGATTATGAAGGCTTCTTTGCTTGCAAACATGTACAACAGTGCCACACTTTTCCTCTTGTCCGCGTGCCTATCTCTGTGTGCCGTATGTTGAGCTAAAACTCGTGCGGTGAAAGAAGTTTCTTTTGGTGTTTTCGTTCGTGCCGTATGATGATAATTGGGGCGGGGGGGGGGTCTTGCTTTAGGAAGAGACGAAACAGGCACTGAGCGTTCACAAGGCCCACCTCGCCTGCCTAGTCGCTCGCTGCGCCATGGTCAGCCGCTGGGCCGGGGACCCGACGGTGCAGGCGGCGATTGTGTCGTGCCTGCCGAACCATCTCGCCAAGGTACAGTACGCATGTATGCCCTTGCGTGCAGCGTCGTGGCTTTGCCTTTGTGCAGCATGGTGCTGACGTTCTCGTAGCGTGTCGACATGAAGTACGGTATCGCACCCGCACCAAGGAAAAAACGTGGCTTGCACTACTGTTGTCATGCCATGCCGGTATCGTAGTTGCCGTCTGCTATTTAGTTGTTTCATTCTCTTACCTACCCCCTCCCTTCTGCAGAAACACGTGCCGGCTAGGCAGAAGCGAAACAGACAAGACTCGTCGTCGCTGCCGGCCGTCGGGGACCGAGACGGAGGCGCGGCGGCGGCGGCGGCGGCGGCGAAGAAAACCAAGAAGAAGCGAAAAAAGGACGGAGACGACGACGAAGAAGGGACACGTGAGGACGAGGAGGAGGACAAGATGCCATCGGATGGCGGCAACCAGCTTCGCCTGGCCGACCTCGTCGTCTGGTTCCGAGAGTTCATCACGGTCTTGGACGATGGCGCCGTCGGGGGCAGCGAAGGATCTTGGGGGTCGCGCCCGCAGAGACTGCTGAGGGTGATCGAGCAGCAGGCGGGCTGCGCGCAGGAAGCCGTCCAGCTGTTCGTGTCCCTGTGCCGCGGCCTCGGCCTCCGGGCGCGCTACGTGGCATGCCTCGACCCCGTGCCGCCTTCCCCGGCGGCGGGCCTCCGGCGGCAGCCGCCGCCGTCCAAACAGACGCGGAACTACACCGTCAACCTCGCGGCGGCGCCGGCGGTGCTGGCCGAGGGGAAACAGGGAGTAAGACACCACCATCGTCAACGGCGGTGGGGTTCGGGGGAGTCCGGCGGCGGCCTTCAAGCAGCCGGGGGGGTCGGGGTCGGGTCCTCGCAGGCCTGGGCGGAAGTACTCTGCCGAGAAGGGAAAGAGCTGGTGAGGACGGGGCCCCCGGGGGTGGGGTTTCTATGCGGTGTAGTGCGTAGGCGGGAAGGGGGTTGGGAGTCGTGTGTGTGGTCGATGCCAGCAGTGTGTACATCTCGGGTAAAGTAAGGTACAGCGGAAGGGATGCGTGTTGTGTGATGTTTTGGGATTGGGGGGCAGTAGGTGCACACAGGATTGCCGCCGCCTCCTTTGCTTGTACGAAGGCAGCTGTAGCGGGTAGATTGGCACACCAGGAAAACCTAACCTGTGACCATTTGTCTATCAATCAGCGCTTATGTAGATCAACGAACACAAATTCATCTTGATTTTGCGCTTACCTTTGAGGCAACTCTCTTGGCCATGCAGTTTTGCGCGCGCGCGAGCACGCGCGGTCTTCGCCCTCATGGTACCGGGTGTGGCTTGCGACCACGGGTGACCCGCGTTTGGCGGTAGCCAACACAACAACGCCTGCCCCCCCCCCGTTGACGTCGTCTCCTGCCTTTCCGTCTTCGCCGATTGTCCCATTCCCGTCCTCCTCGAAGTACGTCTTGACGGAGAAGGAATTGTCCCCGTCCCGACGCCCTCCTTCGTCGTCGCCGCCGCCGCCGCCGCCGCCGCCGCCGGCCCCTGCAACATCACCACGACGGCCGTCCAAGCGGCAGCGCACTCGCGGCACTCCCGAAGCTTGTCTTCCCCCCCGAGATTCGCGGCCCAAGGGTTCCGCCGGCATGCCGGGAGGAGGAGGCAACAGCAGCAGAAGCAGAACCGAGGCATTGTCGATGAACAGCGACGATGAAGACAGCAACGGCGCAGGAGCAGCAGAGAGCGATGATGATGATGATGATGGCGCGAGACAGCTGGCGGAAGAGCAGCGGCGACAGAACCGTACGTCCGAAAAAGTGGACGTTGATCCACCTCCGGGAGAATCGACGGCAACGGCGACACTTTCCGGAGCGAGAGCGAGACCAACGCGTGCAGGATCCAAGCGAAATGCAACGGGGGCGATCGCGGCAGCAGAAACATGCACAAGGCCTTCGAACGGCAGCAGAAGGGAGCTCCCGAGGAGTCGCGAAGCTGCTTCTTCGGCCGCTGGCGCTTCTGGCACGGCCCACAAAACGAAAAGAGTGGCAGGCGCCCCGAAAGGCGAGGGATTCCGTGACGCAGTTCCATGTAACACGGCATATCCCACCGGCGGAACAGGTGGCGGGACATCCGCAGACGACGGTGAGGCCAC